GACTCATCAACATACAATATATATATATATATGTTTTTTCTCGTGTATTATATATATATATACTCTATTAATATTTGTATGTATGACTCAATATAATATATGTACAAACCTGCATTGACCTTGTTACATGCAGTGGTCAATAAGCAGCCGGACAGGCTGGCTTGCTGCAGCTGGCCTCGAGGATGCAGCTCATCCGCGTTTTTCAGCGACAAGCGCAGGAAAAAGGTGAGGGAGATCTTCACCATTACATTGAAAGACACATTGAACAAGTTAGTTGGGTGCACTTTTCTTTGAAAAAGACCAGCACGTAATACCCACACCTAGAGTAAGTACCAGGGTATTGTGAGAAATTATCCGATGTTCAGCACTTGCTGCAATTGCGACCCCAACTGGGGCATTCTCCAGGGCGTTTTGGCCGCACGCTTGGTGTTATTGATGTACTTTGGACCCAGAGAAGACAAGACTGAGGTTTTAACTCAGCTCAGCTAGGCTTGTGTAACGCTGCATGGTTGTGAGATGGGTAAATGTTGGGTGATGATTGGTTTTAATCTTTCCCCGGGCTACGTTTCGGAGATATCATTGAGTAACGTGTTTCTTGCATGTTCTTTCCCAGCCTCACATTCGCTCAAGAAGAAAGAACTTCTGATTATATCCCAGACACTCCATGGGACTGGCATATATGCCTACATTGACCGGCATATACGGCAGTCCCGTGGAGTGTCTGGGATATATTTCTCTTATATGATTCGCCCTCCCGTCCACGGAACCGTCCGCTGGACACGCCCTATCAGGAATCATGGTATCCCCTTTCCATGATGGCTCACCGTTCCCTTGGATAGTTGGCGCAGAATCGTGTTGAAAGAGTTTGCCTGTGAAAAACTTTGAATCTTATCCAAACCTTCCAATGCTCTCCATCATTCCAGGGGAATGGAGGCCGACCTTTCCATTTACTTGGGTTCATTTTTCTCGAGAAAATCCGACGAGGCTTCGAGAACGTGAAGAAGTCGATCAGCGCTTGCGAGGCCGGTTGTGAGCGCGAGAGTGTTTTGAAGTCCCACGCAGTGTGCTGGGCCAAGGGTTGGTTGGCCAGTCGGTGGGTTTTGAACCCTTTTTTTTTGGCTGATGGTCTTCTGGCTTGGGTTTCCGGGTGTTTTGTTGTTTCGAGCTGAACGGGGTGGGAGAGGTGTCTGTTTTTGTTGATGCTTTCTGGGGGCAGGTCCAGGTTGACTGTGTTCTTGGGGGGGGGTTGCATTTTGGTTGAGGGAAGAGATATGTTTTCCATACCTTTCCATCACGACAAACTGAAGAAAGAGAGATTTAGAAAGATTCCATCATTTGAAGGACGGCAGATTTCAACCTGGAAAATCTACAGTGCCTTGGATGTGTACATGTTGATGTTCCCCAGCCTTTTCGGATTGACCCACAAGTGTGACTGCAAGGACCCAGCGAGTACTCCCAGCAAGGTCCAAGTACTTTGGAAGAGGGTAGTCTATCAAGATTTATCAAGATATCCATGCCAGTGATTCGTTTATCCATTCCATGTGCGAATCAATGGAATTGACCATCGGACCGAGATTAGCATGCCAGCTGGTGGAGAGTACTAAATTAGTAAGAACTATAACCCATGGCAACATGGATCTGAAGGATCTCCTGCTTTGCTCCGCTCTTTTGAGACCGACGCTGCGAGGCCGACGCTGCGAGGTCAACGGCTATGGGGGGTCCTGGCAAGTGCCCAGTGGGCGCCAGTGGCTGTTGGCAGCGCAGGAAGGTGGGCGTTCCGTGGGACGGCTCGGGCGGATTGGCGTTTGACTTAGGCTATTTGACCCGGATGTGGGATGAAGAGTTCTACAAATCATATGGAAATGGTCTCAAAGATTGAGGGCGGGCTTCACCCAGCGGCAAGCATGGACTTTGCGTTTCATAGTTTCAATCCATGTTGAAGCCCATTGGCAACAAACAACTGACTCTAAGACTCTAAGACCCGCGTCTCTAAGACCCGCTGGCTGGCGGATGACTTTTGGAGGAGTCGGAGATTCTCTTCGCTCCGCAGGCACAAAAGGAACTGAGGTCAAAAAGGGTCCGCAGGTCCGCAGGCACCACCAGATCATCCAAGCAAAGAGCCTGGGATCCTAAAACCGACCAGCGCACTGGGGGGGGCTCCAGAGAGAGCAAAGAGCAAAGAGCCAAGGGCAGAAGCCGCTGGGAAAATGGAACCTTCCGAACCTCCCACAACCAGTGGATGTTTCTAGTAATAACAAGTGCCACGCTAGTAGTAACAGGTGCCTTACTAGTAGTAACAAGGTTCGCTAGTAGTAACACATTAGAATTAATTGTCCCCCAGAAGTCGACCAGTTGCAGTCGGATCGTTCCAAAAGAGGTGCCAGAGCGATCGACTAGTCGTCGCTTGGGAGCGGGAGCGGGGAGCGAGCGACCTGCCCAGGCCGCGATTTGATGTCGGACCATGACTCCCCCATCTCCAAGGCGGGAGAGAAGAATTAAGAAAAAGCTACTAGGAAAAAGTGCATCGCTTCTAGTAACAAGGGCCTTACTAGTAGTAACAAGAAACTATATAGTAGGCGGGAGAGAAGAGGAAAAAGGAGTCCAAGAGCTCGGTCCCCATGTCCGGTCCCTGGGTTTGTTCCCGTGCTCTCAACCGTGGAGCGATGAAGCATGTTTCTGGGTCTACCGCGGAGCTTTTCCTTGCATGGCCAGAAGAAGACGGGAGCAAGATCTTGTTCGGACCCTGTAGATAGTCAGCCAGAGCAGGAAAGTTTGAATTGAAGATGGATATGATATGATATAATATATATGTATATATATGTATGACTATTATATATTATGTCTCTTATATATACCTGTCAATTCAGGAGCAACCTGAACCTGCACAGATCACACCTGCGGAGCACCTTGACCACTCTGCATGGAAATCCATCGCTTCACAACTGCTATGACTGCCAATTGATCTGTTGGCGTCATGCTGCAAGAGCGGAACCACTGTTAATTGGATAATTTGCAGAGCTGGAGGCGGCCAGGACGGTGAAACTGCCGTGCAACCGCGCCAGGCCAGCCTTAGCTCCACCGTGTGGCGCTCCATGGGCAAGTGGCGACACAGCACGGAGGAACCCAGGAGCGTGGAATGAGCGAGAGGCTAGAGTCTAGAGGAGCAATTGGTATGCTGAGGAAAAGCATGACCTTAGTTCAAAGACAATTAAAACATGATTTGTTTCTTAGTGTTTTAGGATGTTTTAGGAACTCAATAGCGATGGCCTCCAACCTAATAGCGATAGCCTCCAACCTAATAGCGATGGCCTCCAACCTAGTAGCGATGGCCCCTGCAACCTAGTAGCGGTGGCCTCCAGCCTAATTGCGATTGCCTCCAACCTCCAACCTAATAGCCATGGCCTCCAACTTAGTAGCGGTGGCCTCCAACCTAATAGCGATGGCTTCCAACCACATAGTTATTGGTGTTTGCTGGAAGACCTCAAATCTGATTGAAGATATTGAAGACATGATGCTAGCCTTGGGCTTGAAGCTCACAGTGCTTGAATGCCTTGGTCCGTTACAAGATTGTTACAAGGATGCTTCAGGATTCTTATTTGTTCGCGCCGCTTCGCGATGAGCCATGTTGTAGTAGTCCCAGGCCTTAACAGGTCAAGAGCCCTGAGCACAAACTAAGACATTCGTCCATATTTCAGAGTTCACCGATGTTCACCGATCTTCGATGAGATAGCACCTCACCAGGCCATTCCCACCAGCGAATCGTAGTCGTGGTAAACTCTCGCGTTTCAGCGCGATCTGCACGGAGGATCTTCCTTGAGTGCCGCGCACCCAAAACCTGCTTGGGCGTTCGCTCCGAGAAATGGCGTCAGCTCAGCCGCCTGGGCTGCAAGCCGGAGGAAGAAACAGACGTCGTGTGGGGTGGTGTACGGAGGACAGGGGGACTTGGATTGGACCTGCCAGAGAAACACGACTTGTGAGGGATTGTACTGAGCTATGAAGGTGCTGGAGTTTATTTGTGAGCTGTTTTGTGTGTACTGGTGCGGTGGGGCGCCAGTATACTGGTCAAGATTTCTACCAATATCACCCAATATCCGGGTTTGGGCCAAACAACAAAAATCATAAAGTCTGGTGAATGGTCTCAAAGTTCTTGTGATGGAGAGACAGTTCTGATCCGCTCTGGGTGTTTTGAACATGGTTCTGATGGCTGTGGGTCACCTTGGTTGACCGACCTTGGTCGTTCGCGTGGCGCATGGGCCGTTGCTGGAACGTCCGATCGTCCGGGAGCGGAAGGCTACCAAGCGATGCTGGAAGAAGCGGCCCGCGTAGCGCATGAGTTGGAGACTTCGCCCGCGTAGCGAAGACGCTTCAGTGGGGAGACCATTTGCGAGAAAAGATGGGAAGAACGTGGAAGCACCAAGGAAGGGATGGGTGCAGTTGCAGGAGTTCTTCTAGTAGAGCGGATGCCGATTTGATTTACTTATCCAACTCAGGCAGACGAGAAGGGGAAGCAGACCATAGCATGCCTACCCTATGGTTATGTCAATATGCCCACAAGAATTGATGGTTAGGCGGCCCTTATCCGAACCATTCCAAACCTATATACTTAAATAGAAGAACATGGGTCGTGCTGCCAAGTGGCGAGCTCCATGTCACACTCCCTTGCAAGAAACAAAGGCACGTGATGGCAAGATGATTTCCGTGTAGCTGCTGAGAGGGAGTGCAGCTGTCAGCACAAGGTCGTGCGATCTGGGAAAGAGTTCCAGAATAGCATTATGATATAATTATGATCATTATGTATGAACATGTATGAGCCATAGACCCATATGATTATCATTATGTCATGTGTTACGTGAACCCTAGATTTATGACATTGAATTGGTGGATATACCATGTCATGTCCTTCATCCACAAACATCCCCTCGATGTACTATATCACCAAGGTGGTACCAAGGCACGAACAACCTCCGGCCTCCACTGGTCCTTCGCCTCCTTCGCGGCAGGCCGTAGGGCTCTTTGGCGGACATCAACGCTTATTGAAGGCCATCCAGGGCATCGGAGCCTTTGTCCGGACTGCCTGGAAGCGGTCGTTGGAGGGCCCGAGATAGTAGGTCAGTGGAACACCACCTGGAAGTGGAAAACCCTGTTTGTAAAGGAACATCGGTCTACTTTAGAGGGTCCAGGTTCCACATTGTTCCATTTCCATTGGTAGTGAGTCACAGTGGAGCGGCGGACACCCTGGTGTATGTGGTGATGTGTGGTGTGTTTCTGGGCTTTAGGAGGATACACTTGACGAAAAGGGGAGCCACGTCCCAAAGATATCGAAGACTCAGGTTGCTTCAACAACTCAATAATGTGGACTTTTGATTACTAAACCCCCCAGTTGAATTGGACATCCTCTTCATGATGGGGGGTTGATTAATTTAAGAGTCTACATTACCTCACGCGTTGAACTGGTTTCCAGACTAAAACACAGTCCACATCATTCCACTGGATTGTATTCGGACTGTATGTGTCACTTTTAGTTCCGCTGTAAATTGATGGTCAGACCGCGCCACCTTCTTCACTTTCAGAGTTCAAGAAAAACGATCATCTAAATGAAGAAGGTGCTCACAACCAGCTGCAGACAGCTGCAGAACAACTCTCAACTTCGGCCTCCCACGTGGCTTCCCAACGTGGCTCGAGCCACCTGAGGTGGCCATTTGCGCAGTGAAAGTGCATCCAGGAAAGCGGCGCGGAGCGCCCAACTTCGGCCGCGCGCGGGAGTGCGGACGGAAAGATCACTGGTGTCCGCAGCAGCACTCCAGGAATTGTTTGTTTTTTTCTGTTTATCTCGTTTCTTTTTTTCTTTGGCCTGCTCGGCCCTGCCTCCTTACTTAATTAAGTAGTGGGCGCCTACTTAATAAAGTAAGGGCGACTAGTTAGCTTCTAGGTAGGACGCAGGATAGCTCACGCTTCTTCAAGGAAGCTCCCCCGACCTGAGGGCGGAGGGGAGCTTCCTTGAAGAAGCGCTCGCACTGATGATTTGGTTCCTGATGGTTCCTAGATTTTAAGGGAAACTTATGACCTGACATCTTTAAGACTAACGTGTCATTGACATAATGTAATTTGTTTAAGTCATGGTCATCATCATGAAGACGACCATCACCTTAGGCATCATCATCACGTCATCATAAATACACAGACATGATCATGCCAAAAACGACGACTTCAATTATATAAGATCACAAAGGCCCTAGTATAAGCAAAACTACATCTCCTACTACTACTACTACTACTACTCCTGCTGCTGCTGCTCCTACTACTACTACTACTACTACTACTACTACTACTACTACTACTACTACTACTACTACTACTACTACTACTACT